GCAAATTAAATGGTTAGAATTATGGGAAATTTGGAGGCCGATTTTTTTTATGGATTTATTTGAAGATAAGTCAGTCAATGAAATTTATTTGATTTTAAGTCTATTTTTTGTCAATTCTACTATTATAATCATTCCTTGTAGAAACGTTATAAACGACATTTATGGACACAATAACCAACTATATACATCTCTTGCATAATCGCCTTCAATCCGACTATAATCTTCCAAGTCACAATGTTTCCTTATTTAAAAAACAAAAAATCATTCATATTCAAATTTCAAACTCGTAACATTTCATAAAATACATTTTCAATTTACTATTTCAGTTTATTTTAGATTCCATCTACAATATTATATATTAATATTCCTGTTACTGAACTCTGTTGGCATTGTTCAGTCTCCCTATATTATGCATTACTGTTGTTAAAAAAATTTTGTGATCTGATTTTGACTTAATAGACCAACAATTTATGCGTACATTAAGTTTTTCATATATAACTATCAGAATATATAATTTTTATATAAAATTTTTGTTAATTATAATAATATTTAATAAACAATTTCCATATATAACTCAATCAAGTGTTTCTATATATACCTTAATAATCTAATTTATGTAATTTTTCATAATTGGACAAAATTAAAAACTGTTAGGGTTAATTTTAAAATTTTAAAAATAAGTGAACTTAAATACCTACATATAAATTTAAACATGAATTATTCTCAAATAAATTTTCCTTCAATTCTCAAGTCATTATAAATTCAGGACGAGGCATCCTCAATTTTCACTTAGAATTAGAATTATTCTGTTTGAGGGCCAATGGCATAGTCTTATCAGCTTATCTGGTTAACCACGTGGATAACAGTAAGAAAAGTGCAGTGCATGATGGGCCCACATATGCCACCACCAAAATTAGGATTGGATTGGGCTTTGCCAAAAATCAAACAAAGTAAGGATTGGGTGGAAAGTGGGGTGACTCCACACTCTATTGAAACAGCACACTGCTATGTGATTATTACTTGGGCTTTCTGGGTCCCACCATCGGGAGGCAGGAATTTTGTCACGTTGGCCCACCTTCCAAAGATGGACCCTACACACCTCTTCAAATAGATTCTCTTTCCCCCTCTTCATTATTTGATAAGCATGTGCCATTATGAAATCTTAATAGGTACTTAAGACCACTAAACATATTTAAATAATAATTAAATGAGAGAATTATATTTTATACCTTAAAAGATTTAAAAATTCTTATTTAATACTTTGAAAGATTAAATTTTTTATATTATACCCTTAATATATCAAAATTATTACAATGTAGTCCTTCTATTAGTTTCTGTTATTTTTTCCGTGAGTATCAATGTAGTAGTTTTTGAGAAAAAAAATAACAGAAACTAACAGAAGAATCACATTACAATACTTTTGATACATTGAATATGTAATGTAAAATTTTTTATTTTTTAGGATACAAAATAAAAATTATTAAATCTTTCAGGGTATAGAGTACAATTGGTTCTAATTAAATATATACCTATTATTTTTGTGTGTGGAACGCAAAATCTTCAACGTTTCAAAGTTGAGCTTAGATTGAACATAAGAATCAAATGCCTATATTTTTTCAGTTGTGAACATAAAAAAAAAGCTTAAATATTTCAAGCAATGGAACGAATCTCGAACTTAAAAAAACCCGTATAAATCTTTTGTTTATAGCAAGTTTGAGAGTTTTAAAGAGACTAGTTTTTCATTCGCACATAGTTGTCTTGTATCGCTCTCCATAGCTATATAAAAAGGCAATTGACTAAAAATGGCTTAAAGTTTGGAATTTGTTAGATTCCCACTATAGATGTCACTAGTCGAAATTTGACAAATTAAATTCATGAAAGAATGGGTACATTACTTTAGACTAATTATAAAGTCAAGTCAATTAAATGATTCATGCACTTAAGTAGGAAAACAAAGTTTGGTTGTTTGTACCTGTTCAACTTGGAAGATGAAACTTATGTTCAATCCATTAAAAAAATATCTATAATTTTCTTTTAGAGAAAAAAAAGTGGAATTTGTTAGAGCTGGTACTATAAAAGTCTTGGCGTTTGATTGATTACTAATCTATTTTTTTCTCGTGGAAGAATAATATGATTTTTTTTTATCATAATAATCGGGTTGAAATCCAAATTCGGCATCATTCTCTTCATCAACAATTATATGGATGGTAATGGTAAGGTTTTATGAGTACTACCATTACGACTTATTTTTCCATCCTCTAATGTTGCCTGTTTTTTCCTATTTAACGGGGGTAAACAAAAAAAAACTAAAACCCGTAGGTGGTAAGTGATTTATGGACCGTGTTGCTCGAGAAAATTCTAATGACCAAAAAATAAAAAATAAAAAAGAGATATAAAACTAGAGTTTCTAGTTTAGTTGACAAAAATGAAAATATAATCAATTCCAAGTTGGATTGTACCTGACCGCCCCCCTCCACCTACCTCAAAAAAAAATAATAAAATAAAATAATACAAAAATCAATCTAAAAAAATGATTCCCCTAAGAGATATGGGTACGAGACTCGCTTATAGACAGTGAATTTAATTTAAATTTACAACGAACGTGAAGAGGCATGAAATTATGCCACGTGCAAATAGTCACACGAAGATCATGTGAGAGATAAGGCTTTGTTGCAATCGAACCGAGTTGGTTTGGTTGGTGGAATGACCAAGTAGAAGGATTTAACTAGATCAAGATAAGAACCGAACAACATAATTACAACCTAAATTCAAGGGATTCAACTGTACCAGTTGAATCAATCTAAAGAACTTATGAGGTAAGATCAAGGGAGCATTAGAGGAAACCCAGGAGAAACCCAACAGCTATGGCTGAATTGAAGGGGTATGTGTCAATATCTCCGGAGGAAGAAATCATTGGAGCTTATATAAACCAGTAAAGATGAACAGTAAAGGTACGCATAACTCTTATAGGGGCTATTTGGTATGTGGGTTTCTTTTTTGGGAGAGGGGGGTGGTTTGGAACATGGGTTGGAGACTAAACCCCTTTAAACTCATATTTGGTAACTATAGATTTAGCCTAGGGTTTGAAATCCGACCCGGTCATAAAACCTTGTCCATGAGTTTCATGAAACCCATAGAGGGGTGGGTTTTATACGTGAGTTTGGGGGTTTCACATTTAAATAACATTTATACATCTCATATATTTATACTCATGTTTGGATTAAATTAGTTAAAGGGTATAATAGTCATTTAAATATAAATATATTATCATAATAGTCATATATCTCTGTACATACCAATCATGGGTATGGACGGCATTGAATATTGAATATCGAATCCCATCTTTGGTCAAATCTGAGTTTAGACAAGTCGATCCAAATTCCTCCCAAAAAACATACCAAATTGACCCTTAAAATACAAGTTTTTCATTTTTTATTATTGACTTAAACATTGAAGTGTTTTCGAATGAAGAATTTCGATCCTGAACAATTTATTCGTTTTACCGAAAACTCGACTCAGAGGAGGATCAAGATGATCATAAAGACTACGTGGAAGATCTTTTCCGCTTATAAAACAGTCTACTATTTGTTGAATTTAAATATACATATATATATAAAGGAATCTCACTATGAGACTTGAGCATGTTACGATCCCTGAGATACATGAAATTTATAATCTCCTTTATTATCACTCCTTACCCCTCCCCTCACTGTCGACCTCACCCCACCCAAATGATCCTGGAAGAATATTCATTATATTTTTTAATCAAATTTAAATATAAAGTAGTTATTAAAAATAGTGAAAAATTAAAATATGAAGTTGGTGACAAAGATTTTAAATAATTTTAAATTATAATATTTAATTTATAATTTTCGTGGAGCTGAAAGAAACTAATACTTTGTTTGGTGAGAAGGATGAAAAGTATGAAGAATGGAAAGTAGAAGAGATACACTTTCTATCCTTCAAGGATAAAAAATAGGAATGATACACATTCCTTCCTTTTGTGTTTAGTTTAATGGATGAAAAATAAAAATGACAATTTTTTTTATTGGCTAAAATTAGGGATGACAATTGACTAATGTTGTGTCAGATTCATGTTGAGTTATAAAATTATGAGTATTTTATATTTTTTTTGTGTATCAAATCATTTTCAAGTTTGTGTCATAAAATTTATATCGAGTTCGAGTCATGTCATTGTGTTAAGTCAAAAATTTTCACCCTAATTAAAAATATTTTTTTTTTAATTTAAAATTATAATAATTTTTTATTTTTAAAATTTTAATATATATATATATATATATATATATCTTTACTTTTCCATCCATTCTATTTTCTTTTCTTAATAAACATGATATTTTATTTATTTTTCTAACTTTTCATTCTTTTATTTTTTCATCATATCAAACGGAACATAAAACCTTGGAGATGGGTTATATGAACTCTTGTTGAAGTTTTAAAATTATGAGTTTGCTCTTAAGAAAAAATAAATGAAAGAATTAGTATCATTCTACTAAACTTTTAACACATCTAAATGAATTTGTACGTCTATTCTTATAATCTCATAATTTGAAATGATTACATATAAATTATTAGTTTTCTACAAGATTGGTTCTCCGATTGTACTTAAAGATGTGATAGTGAGTTTTTCATATATATGGAGTTTTGCTAAGTCAAATTCATAGTGAATATTTTGGGTGTTACTAACCCAATTATGATAATAGTTAGAACGTCCAAACTAACTATTGTTCAAAAATGACATAACTATATTAGAACAATAGAACAAAGTTCACCGTGCGGCTAAATCCTTGGACAAAAAGCATAAATAAATTATGATCATCACATGACAATAATATTTGGGATCTTTATATACTTCTACAGTAATCATATCCAATGCGCATAATTGTCCTCATCCCGTTCTTTATCACAGTGGAATAGCTAGTGGGGAGAGAGAGAGAGAGAGAGAGAGAGAGAGAGAGAGAGAGAGAGAGAGAGAGAGAGAGAGAGAGAGAGAGAGAGAGAGGAGGACTATAATAGTATAATCTACATAGAAATATAAGAGGTTACAGAAAGGCCAAAGGAGGTTCTCTTTCTCTGCAATCAAAAGCACAGCTCATTTTGTGTATTCGTGAGTTTAGATATTATATTAAGCTCTATCACAGCTTCCTCTTCTTACCCTCCTCATACTCAAATTCTTGTATTGTCATCACTTAAAGCCACTATTGTTGAACTTTGATGTCTATGCCCCTAGCAGAGCATGATTACATAGGCTTGTCAGAGGTTCCTTCAATGGAAAACTCTGAGAGAATCACTGTACCATCTGAAGGCATTGAGAGGTCCAAAGGTTTGAACTTGAAAGCCACTGAACTGAGACTTGGCTTACCCGGTTCTGAGTCACCAGAGAGAGATAGTGGACATGGTGGGGTGGAGGAAAAGACTGTACACCCACTTGGTGTACCGAAGAACCTTGTGTCAGGTGCCAAGAGGGGTTTCTCTGACACCATTGACGGTGGTTCTGGGAAGTGGGTTTTCTCTGGGAATGTTGGATCTGGTGTTGATTTGGCCAAAAATGGTGGTTTTCTCTCTCCTAGAGGTGTCAATGGTTGTGGGAAGACTCTTGGTGTTACTGGGTCTGAAGCTAACACTCAGCAGTCAGTTGTGGCTTCCAATGGTGTGAAAGAGGTGGTTCCACCGTCGCCGGAGAAGAAGCCTCAGATTTCAGTTGCAAATGGCCATGGGGTTGCTCCCGCTGCAAAGTAAATTTCTTTTATCCTCTTCTTTTACCAGGAAAGTATTTGGGTTGAAATTGGGTTGCTTTGTGAATCTTTTCTTGTTAGATTACTAATCTCCTGGTGTGGTGGGTTTTGCAAAATTTGTGTCCATATCTATTTTGACGTTGTTTTCCTTGGAAAAGAACCGTTTTGCTTTACTTGCTTTTATTTTTTTAATCTGTTTCCGTTGGCGGATGCTTGTACTTTGCTTGTGAAATCTCTCTAATCTACTCCTCAGAAAAGGAAAAAATCTCTTAAAATTGTGGTTTCTTTTTTCAGGTTGCGTGAGTTTGTGTGAATGAAGGGACTTGCAGGAGGCTGAAAAGCCACAGTGTGCTAGCGCGAGTTAGGGCAACAACTTAGTGTCTTGTTTTCTTCGCTGCGTCTTTATGCGTGTGTGTGTGTGTGTTGTCTTGTATTATTGTCAGTTTATGTTCTGTAAAGATTTGAACTTTCTCTGTGTTAGGTGTGTGTGTGTGTGTTTGTTTTTGCAATTTCTTGATCTGTTCCATAGGTTGTATTATTATCTGTTTATGGTTTGTAGAGATTTTAGTGTGTTTGTGTTGTTTAAAGCTTCTTGAACTGTAAGCTTTTGAATTATTTAATAGTAAGAAAAGTAAGTGAGGATTCTTAGTCTTGTTCTGTGTGCATGAAACAGGGCACAGGTGGTAGGATGGCCACCAATTCGATCTTTCCGAAAGAATTCAATGGCTATTAATCCTCCTAAAAATGATGATCATGTGGATGGAAAGTCAGGATCGGGTTGCCTTTATGTCAAAGTCAGTATGGACGGAGCTCCATATTTGAGGAAAGTTGATCTCAAGACCTACTCCAGCTATAAGGAGATGTCTTTGGCTCTGGAAAAGATGTTTAGCTGTTTTACAATAGGTAAGCTCTTCCTAAATCCTCTCTCCCCGCTTTATTCAGCAGCAATAAATTGAAAATCCTTAAGGGCTTTTTTATTGATAAACAATTGGAACAGAGGGTTCGTTCAGAACAGTTTGTGTGTCAAAGCCCCTATTATTGGGTTTGTTGTGAGGTCTTCTACACAGTTGCTTGTAGTGTTGGGAAAATGAAGAGAAATTGATGATTATCGTCATAAATTTTGTTGTAATGAAGATTTTGAGTAGATTTTAACATCCAACGATCCAGTTGTTATGTATGTTAGCACTCCCTAGCATTTTGTTCCACCATAAACACAACTTGATGCCAAATCGGTATTCCATTTCCATTTTCTTCTATAATTGTAAGTATATACTCTGAAGATTAGTGTTTTGTGGTTTAAACTTAATTTAGTGTCATGGTCTTGATCTTATAGTGCTTAGTATTGTACAAGAAGGTTGCCTTGGTTTGGGATTTGTTGGTTTTGTATGCAATAATGAGCAAACATTGTTAAAAAATGTGAATGGGTACCATATGTCTGCTTACATATTTATCAACATTTGTTGAGAGAGATTTAAACACTGCTATGCTCCTCTGTACCCGTCAATTTGAAAGCCACATTCAATATCCTGCATTTTTCTTGGAGGGCTGGTGTGCTACTTTTGGGATCTAAAAAATTGTCAGGTCTATAAGACACACTTGCACAAAGGCTATAGAAGTGTGCTTCGCTTCTTTCCTTAAGCATGACTCGTGTAATTTTGCTTTGAAAGGAGCTAATTTCATGTGTCAACGAGTGTTGCAGGGCATTGCGGGTTTCATGGAGTTCCTACCCGAGATGGGCTGAGTGAGAGTCGATTAATAGACCTTCTCCATGGTTCTGAATATGTACTCACCTATGAAGACAAGGATGGTGATTCAATGCTTGTTGGTGATGTTCCATGGGAGTAAGTGTGGTTTCCGAACTTAAATTTCAACAATTTTCTGATCCAGTTTCTAGAATGATAATTGAACAATTATTATTACAGATGAATTCTTGAAGCACATTGTAATAGATGCACTCCTAAATTCTCTTACTATTAGTATTCGAACATAATGTCTAACTGGACGTAGACGCAAAAAGATGCATTAATTATGATCATGGTTCAGTGTTTGATTGCATAAATCGACTACTATTCTTCTTTCCCAAATCAGGAATGGGACAGTTCTAGTGATGATATCATTTGGGTTAACTTGGTATTATTACTATGTTGATTGAAATTTCTGACCTACAATTTGGAATTGTGTTTTTCTCATAGTTCTTAACAATTACTATCGACTCTATCTGAGTAACTGGACAATTGAAGTGCAAGAAAGAACTAAATGTTTCCATCCCGATTTGTGCCATTGTTTGTTGTTGCAGGATGTTTACCGACTCTTGTAGGAGGCTGAGGATCATGAAAAGTTCAGATGCAATTGGGCTAGGTATGATATACCTATCAGTATCTGAAGGCGTGCTTCTCTTCCCTTTTAATCTCAATTATTCCAAGAATAGAATTCCCGTAACTTTGATAAAGCATTTTCTTTAGCATTATCTCTAATTACAGCCAAGAATTTAGATTAACAATCAGTATCTTATGTTATCCTATCTCTAGTGCTTTTATTTTATTTATCTGATATTCTTGCAGCCCCCAGAGCAGCGGAGAAGTGCAAAAACCATAATTAACGCAATATTGTCACTGCAAGCTGACCAATTCTCCTTGAGCAAAAGAAAGTCATCTCTATCTAAATGCTGGGAAACCTTGGGATTGGATTCTAGTTGGGCACTGGGGTTATTAGTGTGTCTATGTTTGTAAGTGTCATAAGACTTGGTGCACTGGAAAATAATTTCTAGTAGGCAAGAGATGTGTTACTATCAATAGTTGTAGGTTTTTTGAGTTTGTACTTCTCTCTCTCTCTCTCTCTCTTTCAAGTACTCCTGGATTGTTGCTTGTTATCAAGGCTTCTATACTGCATATGTAAATGGTTTGTTTGTCTACTCTCTCTCTCTCTCTTTCTCTCTCTCTCTAACACACACACACACACACAAAAAGAACATGGGGGTGTAGGTGTTATTCTACTGAAATTATAGGGAGATGTTACATGCAATGGGAACCGATGTAGTGGAGAGCTATGGAGAAAGGATGGGGTAGAGAAAAAAACCTCATATTAACAAAAGCTCTATTAAGACTTGCCTAAAATACGAGAAGAGATCGAGTCGAGAGCGTGAGTTGATTTTTTCCTCCTAAAACATTATGCTAGTTCAATTATTACCAACTCAATGTTAGGAACAAACACTAGGTAATGATGATAATGAGCCCCGATGTATCGTGCTTTCATTGTATTTAAGTTGTTTAGTGTTAAATTGATTGAATCGACACAAGAATGATTATATATATAAACATGTTTATATTGCATGTGGTAAAATTTTATTGTGTTATATATAAAGAAGAGTTGATGGGTCATCTGAGATTCAAACTCGTTAATATTAAATTCATATCGAATAAATTCATGTTGATTCACAACGAATCGGAGTGACAATGCCCCAACATATGCCCATCTCCCATTCAATTGTAGGCATTGGCGACATTGGGGAGCAACGTCCAAGATCGGGTTGGTGAAATTTAACCCAAACAGATCCAAATCGGTACCAACTAAAGGTAGGTCTATCAAAGTTTAATAACACACGATTAATCGACACGAATTAAGCGAGTTTTGATAGTAAACGGGTTGACCTGTCAGACACGTTTAATAAACGGGTCTTGTTCGGATGAGATCTGTCAATCCATTTACCCGTTTAAATAAAATTAGTATACTAATAAATTAATAATTATTTTAAAAAATTAGCTAGAATTAATAATTTATGTTATAATAAATAAAATAGGAAAGATAAAAAAAAATCATCAATAACTAATAAGCATTGAATATTTAGTATATATAATAACAATGTGATGACTCCAAAAAATAAAAATAAAAAATTGAAAAAAAAGGTAGCTCAAATGTATACAATAAGGAATAGGAAACTAGAACAACTCTGTGCCTATAAGGGGAGCGATATTCGTATCAATTGATTCTTGGTGGCGGCTTGATAGCCTGGCAGCTTCCTTTGGGGATGAGCCGAGCCGAGCCAAGTGGTCATCTTATAGCCTGATTTGAATTTCAAATTTATAATATTTAAGTCATATCAATAAAATGGATTAAATGAGTCGTATTATGTTACTCGTTTATTAAACGTGTTATGTATGAGTTTATAAATTTTTTACTCTTCACCCGTTTAATCCGATACGTAATCGTTTAATTCGATACATTTGACACCTTTAATCAAAGTATCACATTGTGTTAAAGTGGTGCACCCATTATTGAATTATGCAACCCACCCATATTTTAACCGTCTCCGAATCACAAATCACAAATACAGGAAATGACAAACCCTAAATCCTAAATCTCTACTAAAAGTATCTTTAATCTTGACTTAAATTTAAACTCAAATATAAATTTGAGTCTAAATAGTTTAAAAACATTCTCCAACATTAGACACAAACATACCCATCAAAGTTTTCTTTAATTTTTTTTCAAGTTAAATATTGTTGATAGTGTAATTATAGGATTCCAATTCTTCTTGAAATTTTAAGCTTTCACTATTCAAAAATTTAAAAAATTTGTCATTTTATTTATTCAATCATCCATTTTTATGGAAAATGATCTTTTTTTTGTATTCTTTAAGCCAAATTCATATCAAAGTAAATATTTTTTTATCTGAATTTACATAAGAGGATAATAGATTAGAATAATTTGAAAATTATGAGGTGGTTTCTTTTTATTTTCAGATGGTGCTGTATTCATATTTTTTTATTTTTTTTGAATTACCTTGGAGAGATATGAAATTTTGTTTATTATATTAGATTTTATAATTTGAATGATAAAAAAAAAAAAGGAGCTTTCATATCTGTCTTGACAAATCTCAGTGACGTTCAGCTAACGGAGCAAACAGAAAGTGGCAAATGACAAAAAACCCCAACTGGCGGGAGAATCTCTCCACATCAGAGAACAAAAGGCGGGAGAATCCTTTTGCTCCACACCACAGAACAGGCGGGATAGTCCCTCCACATCAGAGAACAAAAGGCGGGAGAATCCTTAGTATCCCTCTCTCTCTCTTTCTCTCTCTCTTTCTCTCTCTCTTTTTGCTCGTCGATTTGAGCTTCGGAGATCCCACCAGACGATCCAAGCCCTGAGATTTATAACTCTATTCGTTTTGAATAAAGATCGTGAAACTGGGTGAGCATTCAATTATTTATTCTTTTAGTGGGTATTCTTTAAAGGGTTTTTTGGTAGGTGGAATGAACTTTTGCGTACGATCTTGATGTTTCAAGGGAGTTCTTGGACAAGTTATTTTGGGTTTGAATTTTTTTGATTGGGCCGAATAGATTTTTTGTGTTCTAGATGTGTTCGTTGAGAAAGTGATTGCCATACACAGTAGACACACACCACAATATATTCTGTTTCTAGTTATTGCCATACATTCACAGTAATGAACTGTTTTTAGTTATTACCACACATTCACAGTTTATGTTTTGCTTGTAGGATCCAGAGTGTTTGTGTCCATGATCTGACAGTTCATTACTTAGCGAATGAGTTCATTGTGAAGCACATTGATCCGGATAAGTATTGCTTCTTTGATATGTTAAATGATGTCTATGAAGTAGCTTTGAAAGATATTCCTTCAAACATTAACAATTCCATATCACTAAGTTGTGGAATTCATGGGTCAATGCAAAAAATACATGTAAAAGAAGATGCTGATGTGGGGAAAATGTTCCACCTAAACAACAAGAGCACTGTGATTCATGTCTATATTGATGGTGTTCAATTCAGTCAACCATTGGCAGGGAAGTTCCTCATGCTCCTCCCCCTTCAAATGCAAGAAGTACTGTTAAGGAGACAGAGGCCCAGGATGAGAATGACGATGAGGACTTATCTTACAGTGATGAATATGGGTGGTGTGTGCACACTGAAAGTGATGTTAGTTTGAGTTCTGTGGAGTTAGTTGAATCAGAGACAGAAAGTGATGCTTTGGAAGCTGGTGGTGCATTATCGGACTATGAATCAAATGATGAAGGTGGTCAGCATAAATCTGATAGTGAGACTGATTATGAGGAGAATCCCTTGGAGGATACACTGAGAGGTGAGGTATTTAGTGTTAAGGAGGGTGAAAGGATAATATTTAAGACGGGAATGCTGTTTCCAAATATCAAAACATTCAGAGATGCTTTGAGGGATTATGTGATTCAGGAGGGTTTTCCTTTGCTAAGAGATAAAAACGAACAGACCAGAGTTACAGCACATTGTGGTGTTGAAGGGTGTCCGTGGTGAATACATGCTTCTCCTTTGCCTGATATGTTGACATACAAGATAAAGACTTATAATGGTGTTCATAGTTGTGTGAGGAACGCAAAATCAAAAGAAGCAAATGCTCAATGGCTTGCTACCAAACTTATGAATGTTTTGAGGGCAACTCCTAACACGACAGCTGGTGGCATGAGGGAAGAATTGAACAAATATGGAGTGAATCCTCCAAGAATGCAATTGTATAGGGCCAAAAAAAAGGCATTGGAATGGATTCAGGGCAACCATGGTGATTCTTATGGAAAGTTACCTGCCTATGCTCACTTAGTTAATGAGACAAACCCAGGGAGTATTGTGAAGATCCATTATCAAATGGAACCAATGGAAGTGGTACCATCTTTCAAGAGAATCTTCGTCGGATTCTCTGCTCTCAAACAAGGGTTCATGAGAGGTTGCAGGTCTTTCCTTGGCTTTGATGCGTGCCATTTGAAAGGCCCATTTGGAGGAGTGCTTTTGACGGCTGTTGGACTAGATGGAAATAATGGGCTGTTTTCGATAGCTTTTTCGGTGGTGGAATTGGAGACAAAAGAGAGTTGAGGATTTTTCTTCTATTGGCTAAGTGAACTGCTGGAAGGGTTTTCACTGAAAAGTCTTGGAACTATATGACTAATAAGCAAAAGGTATATATCTAACATTTTATGCATTTTTATTATGTCTTGATAGGTATATATCTAACATTTGCTGCTTGTAACTTAAGCAGGGTTGTAAGGAGGCAATTAGTCAGTTTGTGCCACATGCCATTAACAAACATTGTGTTGTGATCGTGCAGCAATTATAGTGAATAGTAAGGAATCAAACAATTAAGAAAGCAGAAAAAAATAACACAGAGATTTACGTGGTTCGACAATGTGCCTACATCCACGAGAACGAGCGGCCGTTCTTTTCCATTATTGAAGTAGGGTTACATCTTAAGTATTTATATAATTCTAATATGAACCTATTTACAAAAATACCCCTGTACCGTACCGCGGGGCGTTGCCCCCGCATCCCCAATTAATCAGCGTTCCCTTTATATAAATCCCGCAAGGCAGATGCCGTCACAGGCTCCGCTTCACTCCACTCCGCTACGCTCCCGCATCTGCCTCCTTGCCATTATGCACACAGCAAATATGAGCCGTACATACTCTAACAATCTCCACCTTGGCAAATATTCACCCTTTAGAAGAAAAAAAAGGGATATGTATTCGGGAACTCCACCGGGGATGCTGAGTTGAGGCATCTCCCATCTAGCAACTAGAGACATTAATCAAGTCCAAGCAATGCTTGAACTTGTCTATAGTAACAGGCTTTGTCAACATGTCTGCTGCATTTTCAGAAGTGTAAACTTTCTCAAGTAATAGTTCACCAGAAGAAACCAGTTCCTGATCTTATGAAACCTCACATCTATATGTTTGGTCTTTGCATGATACACCTGGTTCTTTGCCAAATAAATGGCACTCTGACTGTCACAATGCAATTGAACTCCACCTTGCTGGGCACCCAGCTCCTTGACTAAACCTGTAAGCCACAAAGCCTCTTTGGCAGCCTCAGCTACTGCCATATACTCTGACTCAGTAGTAGATAGTGCAATTATAGGCTGTACCATGGACTTCCAACAAATAGGTCCTCCCACAAGAGTAAACACATAACCTGTGGTAGACCTCCTGTCATCCAAGTCCCCTGCATAGTCTGCATCCACATATCCCATAACTAAAGGGTCACTCTGTTGTCTGCTAAACCTGATGCCATAGTCTGTAGTGCCCCTCAAGTATCTGAAAATCCACTTGACTGCATCCCAATGCTGTCGACCCGGATTTGAAAGAAACTTGCTAACCACGCTGACAGCTTGTGCCAAATCTGGTCTTGTACAAACCATAGCATACATCAAACACCCACTGCACTAGCATATGGGACCTTTGACATGTCATGAACTTCATCATCTGTCTTCGGGCACTGAGCAGTAGACAATCTGAAATGATTCGCCAAAGATGTACTTACTGATTTTGCATAACTCATGCTGAACCTGTCCAACACCTTCTCAACATAGCTATGCTAAGATAGCCATAATCTCCTGGAAGTTCTGTCCCTGCGAATCTCCATCCCAAGAATCTTCTTAGCCGCACCCAAATCCTTCATGTCAAATTCTCTACTCAACAAAGTCTTCAACTTGTTGACCTCACTCATACTCTTGGCAGCAATCAACATATCATCCACATAAAGTAACAGAAAAATAAATGAATCATCATCAAGCCTTTTACATAGACACAACAATCATACTCACACCTTTTGTAGCCAATTCGGATCATGTAAGAGTCAAATCGTTTGTACCACTGCCTCGAAGACTGCTTCAGCCCATAAAGTGATTTCTTCAAATTACAGACCAAATGTTCCTCTCCAGGGAGACTGAACCCTTCTGGCTGTACCATATAAATCCGTTCCTCCAAGTCGCCATGAAGAAAGCTGTCTTTACATCCATCTGCTCCAACTGCATATCTGAATGTGCTACTAGTGCCAACACTGTCCTGATGGAAGTGTGTCTGACCACGGGGGAGAAGATCTCATCATAGTCAACCCCTTTTCTCTGTGAGTAACCCTTTGCTACTAGACGAGCCTTGAATTTTTCTCCCTCATTTTCTGATACTGCTTCTTTCTTCTTATACACCCATTTGCACCCTATTGCTCTCTTCCCCTCGGGAAGTTCCACCAACTCCCACGTCTGGTTCTTATGCAGAGACTCCATCTCCTCTACCATAGCACCCATCCATCTATTTTTCTCTTGGCTTTGTATTGCTTCCTGAAAAGTTGTAGGATCCCCGCTACTAGTAATAAGCGCATAAGAAACCAAATCTTCAAAACCATACCTGGTAGGTGGCTTGATATTGCGTTTGGGCCTGTCTGTGGCTATACTATGATGCTGTTGATCACCTGAGATAGAACGCTCTACATGCTGAGCATCCTCTTCTCTACCATGATTCTCTAGCTCCACCTGCACCACATGGTCATTAGTGTTACAGTTTTCTGGTACTTGTTTCTCTTTTTCCTGAGTACGCTGCAACATGGCTTTTTCATCAAAAATCACATCTCTACTGATCACCATCTTGTTTGCCTTCGGATCCCAGAGCTTGAAGTCTTTCACTCCTTTCTGATATCCCAGAAAGATACACTGTCTAGACTTCGCATCAAGCTTTGACCTCTCCTCACTAGAAACATGTACATAGGCTAGACATCCAAACACTCTCAAACCAGAGTAGTCTACCTCACTGCCTGTCCACACCTCCTCTGATATTTTCCCATCTAGTGCTGCCCTCGGTGATCTGTTAATCAAGAAACATGCCATATTCATTGCCTCTGCCCAGAAATTCTTTGCAAGCCCTGCATTCAACCTGAGACACCGAGCTTTCTCGGCTATCGTTCTGTTCATCCTTTCCGCTACACCATTTTATTGTGGTGTCTTGCGGACTGTGAAGTATCTCTTGATCCCATGCTGCTCACACAACTCCTGGAACTTTGAATCTGTGTACTCAGTACCATTATCTGACCTGAGGCATTTAATCTTCCTCCCTGTCTGGTTCTCTACTTCAGCTTTCCACAGTTTGAACTTGGCAAACGCTTCTGACTTGTGCCGCATGAAGTACACCCAGACCTTTCGTGAGTAATCATCAATGAAACTCACAAAATACATGTATCCTCCCCGTGATAGTACGCTAATTGGTCCCCAAACATCTGTATAGACATAGTCGAGAACCCTCTCTGTCTTGTGTATGGCTGTCTTGAATTGCACCCTATTCTGTTTTCCAAGAACACAATATTTGCAAAATTTGAGCTTGCATGTCTTGACACCCTTCAATAGATTTTTCTTATGAAGCTCTATCATCCCACGCTCACTCATATGACCCAGCCGCATATGCCGCAAGACTGTATTATCTGATTCAGACTCTACAGCAGCAACTCCACCTACAATTGTAGTACCCAGCAGTCTGTGAATGTTTCCTACTACTTTTTGTCCCTTCATCACTGTCAGCATGCCTTTACTTACTTTCATTACTCCACTTATAGATTTGTAACTATAACCATTACAATCCAAAGTGCCCAATGAAATCAAATTCTTCCTTAGATCCAGTACATGTCTAACATGACACAACGTTCTAACCATACCATCAAACATCTTAATTCTAATATTTCCTATTCCAACAACTTTGCAAGATGCATCATTACCCATCAGAACAGAACCAGAATTTACTGACCTGTAGGTGTCAAACCAATCTTTGTTGGGTGTCATGTGATAGGAACATGCTGAATCCATAATCCAAGAATCTGTTAAACGATCTGAACTAGATAAAACAGAAAGCATATCTCCGTCACCACTCTCTGAATCTTCTTCTTCCACTACGTTTGCAGACTTTGATGCACCCTCTTTGTTCTCTGAATCCCCTTTCTTTTTCTCTGGACAGTCCCGTTTAAAGTGTCCCTTTTTCCCGCACTTGTAACACGAGACAGAGACGTCCTTCTTCTTCTTCCTCGACTTGAACTGGGCTTTATTGTTACTCGATCCATTCCAAGATTTGCTTCTTCCACGTTCCTGGTTACCTTTCACCACAAGCCCTTCACCTTGTGAAGCCTCATCACTGGCTTTCTTCCGCTGATGAAAACCTAACAGAGCACCTGTGACATCCTCCAATTCGAGGGTTTCTTTCCCCCACATCAGATTCGTAACCAAATTCTCGTACGTAGGAGACGCCGGTAGGGAATTCAGCAACATCAGCGCCTTGTCTTCGTCTTCGAACTTCACATCAACTCACTTCAGATCGCTGATGATCTGATTGAACACGTTGATATGTTGGGTCAAATCCGAGCCTTCTGACATCTTAAGACCATATAGTTTCTGCTTAAGATAGAGCTTGTTCGTCAACGACTTGGACATATACCGACTTTCCAGTTTTAACCAAACTTCCGCCAGTGATTCCTCATCCATGACGTGATACATCACTTCATCAGCCAGACAAAGCCTAATAGTCGCCATAGCCCTCGCTTCCAATTCTTTCCAATCCATGTCGTCCATTCCTACCGGTTGTTTTTCGTATAATGCCTTCACTATGCCCTGCTGCACTAACAGGTTCTTCACCTTCCTCTGCCATAATCTGAAATTCCCAGTTCCGTCGAACTTCATGATGTCGAATTTTGTAGAGGAAATCCCAGACATCGTAGTCTAGCTTTGATACCAATTGTTGTGATCGTGCAACAATTATGGTGAATAGTAAGGAATCAAACAATTAAGAAAGCAGAAAAAAATAACACATAGAGATTTACATGGTTCGACAAGGTGCCTACATCCACGAGAGCGAGCGGCCGTTCTTTTCCATTATTGAAGTAGGGTTACATTTTAAGTATTTATATAACCCTAATATGGACGTATTTACAAAAATACCCCTGTACCGTACTGCGGGGGCGTTGCCCCCGCACCCCCAACTAATCAACGCCCCCTTTATATAAATCCCGTAAGGCAAATGCCGTCACGGGCTTCACTCCACTACGCTCTGCCCGTTCCAGCATCTGCCTCCTTGCCATTATGCACACAGCAAATATGAGCCACACATACTCTAACACATTGTTGTAGGCATATTTATAACAATTTTAGGGCAAAACTTCTCTGGGTTACTCCTAAGGAACTTATTTTGGAAGGCTGCTAGAACTTATAACAAACATGACTTTAATTATGCTATGGAGAGAATTAAGGAACTAAAGCCTGCTGCATTTGAATGGTTTCAAAAAATGCCTACTTCATTATGGGCAAGGCATGCCTTTGACGCAACCGTAAAAAAATGACCATGTCACTAACAACTTAAGTGAGTCATGCAATAATTGGGTTGGGGAATTGAGAGAGAAGCCTATTCTAACATTATTAGAACGTCTAGGGTCAAAGCTCATGCATAGGATGCAAAAGAGGTATGAGAAGGCATGTTGTTGGTCCACTTCTGTGACACCAAAAATTGTTAAAAAATTGAATATTGTGAGAGAACAATCAAGACAATGTACCATGTTGCTTGCTGGCCAAGAAGAGTTCCAAGTCTTAGACAACAACACTAATTATATTGTTGATCTTGGGAAGAAGACATGTGAATGTAAGGTATGGGATATTAGTGGCATACCTTGTAAGCATGCTGCTGTAGGCATTTCTTATAGGAGGCAAAACATTGAGGATTTTTGCCATGCTTTTTACTCCAAGGATTCCTACCTCAAGGTTTATGATGAAATGATTCACCCAATTCCGGATGTAACTTTATGGCCCCCAGTTAATGGGATCATTCCGTCTACTCTTCTTCCTCCACCAATGAGACGGCTTCCGGGAAGGCCAAAGAAAAATAGAAGAAGAGAAGTGGATGAACCAGGCCCATCAACTCAGTTGAAGAGATCATGCACTTTTAGGTGTGCAAATTGCAAGGTGTATGGCCATAATAAGAGGACTTGTCAGAGGGGTCCAATTAGAGTGAGGAAGCAAAAAAGAAATACAATGGTAATTAAATACACATTTTCTTTATTTTACTTTAAGGCCACTGACATTTTTTTTGTTTCTGGTTGCCAAATTTGTTGTTGTAGGGAAGAACATCTCAGGTTGCTACTGATGGTGCAAATAATGGGGAAGGAGGAGGTCATCAGGTTGTAACTAGTTGTGCTAACATTGGAGAGGGAGGAGGTTCTCAGGTTTCTTCTCAGTCTTCTCAACCTGTAACTGATGCTCATCACAATGATGCATCTCAGGTGACACTGGATAATATTTTTTTTTTAACAAAAGACAAAGCATAACAGAATTCTGTTACAAGGTAAAACATAAATTCTGCTGCAAGGCAAAACAATAATTCTGTTTTCAAGCATAACAGAAAATATGTTACAATGAATTACCAATAACCAAGTCTTCATCATTCCTCCATCATACTGCTCAGTATCAGAACAACATATCAGAAGCTCAGCACAGCAGCTACATCTGCAACACTTCAGCCTGCTAAATAACTAAATTTCCTGTTGTGATCGTGCAGCAATTATGGTGAATAGTAAGGAATCAAATAATTAAGAAAGCAGGAGAAAATAACACACAGAGATTTACGTGGTTCGGCAATGTGCCTACATCCACGAGAGCGAGCGGCCGTTCTTTTTCATTATTCAAAGTAGGGTTACATCTTAAGTATGTATATAACTCTAATACGGACGTATTTACAAAAATATCCATGTACCGTACCGCGGGAGCGTTGCCCCCACACCCCCAACTAATCAGCATTCTCTTTATATAAATCCCACAAGGCAGATGTCGTCACGGGCTCTGCCCGCTCCGGCATCTACCTCCTTGCCATTATGCACACAGCAAATATGAGCCACACATACTCTAATATTTCCCTTTTTCTAAATGCATCTCAGGTGACATCTGTTAGTGAAAATCTATCACAACTGTTTGGTTCAAGAAGGGCATCTCAGCTCCTTGGCAAAAGTGGAATGATAGCTGCAGAGGCTATGATGAGCAAGAAGGATGGGTCTTCAATGAATGGTAGCAAGGGTTTGAAGCATCGAGATAGTAGCAAGAAAAATGAAACTACCCCTCCTAGTGGCAATGTGGAGTTTGGATATGCCATGTTTTAGAATGGGTAAAATCTTTTGTTCACGTGGTGTCTTTTGTCGGGCAATAGTGGTATCTTTTGTTGGGCAGTAGCGTATGAGCTTTGCAGTACATGTTTTATTTTGTTGGTTGTTTTTGGTTGTGAAGGGGTATAGTTGGATGGTATTCTTTTGTGAATTTTCTTAGGCTGCAACACAGATTTTTGGAATGCAAAACTTAGTTTTAGCAGGGTTTTGAATGCCACCGTTAACATGCTGGGGTATAGTTTTATGGCATGTACTAATTATAAGTTATGTTGAATGATGCATTTCTCAAAATATTGCCAATATATGCAACTTTATAATTAGTGTATCTTGTCATATTGATTATAATGCATGCTCAGAAAAAAAAAAACAGACAAGTACGAGGACAGGTTACACCTCCTCAGACTGCAGAATATCTCGTAGAATTTGAAGTTTCAAGGACAAGTAGAACTATGTTGGAATATTGTGGTCAGAAAGAAGAGGGTGTTAGTTTTTGATGACATGGGGTGAAGACAATCTTGGAATGCTGATACACTTGAAGACATGTGCTTTATGTCTATTAAAGAGTCCTGGATACATGGTTTCTGATCTGTTGGTTGATGGTGTTAGGTTGCTGCTTTGGATTTTTGAAGGTTTAAAGCCAGATAGTTTGCTACAGCTAGTTTCAGCAATCTTCTTGTGCTGCTTTTCTGCTGTGTTGGTTATTATAGCAGCTGTTGCCAGACTTTGTGCTGTGATGCTACTTATGCTGCTATTGGGCATTTTGAGGAGTAAAGCTAGAAGACCATTACAACAACTTTGACTAATTTTGTAACAGATTTTTTTGGGTTATAGTGTAACAGAATTCTGTTATGAAACAAAAAATCTGTTTTACAACAGTTTTCTGTTTTTTTTTTCTGTTAAAAACAGAATTTTCTGTTTTTTTATTCTTGTAAATTCTGAATTTCATTCAATAAAACTTCTCTTTTCTTAAAAAAAAAAATGGGACAAGTAGAACTAAGAAACTATCTTTGACTTAATACAAATTTAACAAGACAGTAAAAATTGCATGAAAGTCTTGTGGGTTAATATCCATGAAGACAGCAAAAATTGCATTTGGAGTGGCACCATTTAAAGGAAATTGATATCCTCCATTTGGCAATATGGGTCCTAACAAAGAAAAGGGTAGTTTGGAGATAATGAATATATAATATGCTGGCACAATTCATTTTTTACCGGTCTCTAACAGTTACAAACAGAAATGGGTTTAAGTGATACACGCGCACAAACTTGAAGGGGTTTGTGTGTAATTTTTTTTATTAGAGGGGGTTTATCTGATTAAGTGACAAACCTGAGGTGGTCCATGTATAATTTACCCAAAAAAAAAAAACAAAACTCTCTTTCTCTCGTGGTTTGCCTAGGATCAGTGAAATCGACATGTTGTGGTGAAATCAATAGATATATCGGTGACTTCTTAAATTCTGGCTTGAGATTTAGAGGTATGTCTGCTACGATTGCGTCTTATGAAGATCCGGTTTTTGTGTAGTATGTGCTCGAGAGTCAAAAACTAGGGTTTATAGAACTTGCTCGAACACTGCAAATTGTATGTATGTTCAGAAGATTGAGTATTTTATTGTACCGAATTAACCATGTTTTACTCGGATTTTCGGCAAACCTAAGCAAGAAACTAATGCATTTGAAACTACTCTCGTTTGTGATTCATCAAATTATTGGTGAGAGTCCTCTTACATTCAATTCCAATTTGGTTATAAGTATACGCATATTGATAGGTGAAGTGCTCTATTACTTGATTAATTTTCGTTTTCCACCTTTACTTGAATTGAAAATCGTGTTTTTTTGGTTTTTGGAATTAATCAGTGAAAAGATGTCGACATCAGATGAAGAGATTATGAGCCTGTACAGAATCCGGAGATCAGTGATGCAAATGTTGAGAGACCGGGGTTACTTGGTGGGAGATTTCGATATTGAGATGACGAAACACTAGTTCATTCAGAAGTTCGGCGAGAACATGAAAAGAAAGACCTTGTTATCAACAAGGCCAAGCGGAAGGTCAGCTCCGACCAGGTATACTTTGCCAGTTATCACAGTCTGCATTCAGTGAAAGTACTCCATTAACGGTCTAAGATCATTATAAGGAATATTGATCGAGTTTTTTGGGAGGTTAGACTAAGATACACCTGTTATTTGAACCTCAAGCTTACGACACTAGTACCACTCTACCTGGGAAGAACCGTATCTAGCTAAACTTCGTTCTGAAGCTTCAAATTAGTTTGTGGGCTATGTTTAGTCATTATGATATTAGTAAACTAGGGTTGAAGGCATTGTAATTTGTTTTTTTGTATTTGGTCTAATTTTTCATGCTCGGGTCATTAAGAATTTGGAACTTCTTATGAGTTGAAAATTCCTTCCTAGTTATGTATTTTCGGCGGCCACTTTTCTTGGTCTTTAGGAGTATTTCTCTCCATAGTAACAACTTAAGGCAATATATAGTGATTTATAATGTGAATGCAGGCATCATGGCTTGCTTACTGGTTATTGCTACCAATCCTTACATGTTACATTACATCACACACACACACACACATATATATATATATAATCTATTTGTTGTCTATTTAAGGAATTATTTTTTCCAATTACCAGCCTTCACATCACCTCTGGATTTCTGCCTTGGGGGTTGTTCTAGTAAAACAGTCTTACTGAAAGAGAATGATTGTAGCGGAAGTTGTTAGTTATGCCTGCATCCTTATGTATCAACCCTTATCATTGTTTCTGTTGAGAATTCTGTATGATGATATACATGTTTTAGTGCTGATAAAGGCATTTAATGCTAGATATGGTCATTATATTTTGTTTTGGTCATGATTTATCTGATTTAAAGCCTTTGGGAACTAGATTGTATTGTTTCTCACTTCATATTTTTCATAGCAATGGAGGTTCCTGTTGCAAAACTGTATGCTTTATGCTATCTATTATTCATTGCATCTTTATCTACTGGTAATGTTTTTGGTGTCAAAACAATGAAGACTTATACTAATCGCATGAAATCAGAGAATGTTTTCTGAGCAATATTGGTTGTCCAACAGAATCTGACTCCCTTTGCTCGAACATGCATAAATGAAATATCTGCAAATTCCACATGGAGGTTTTCCAGGTGATTTTTCCTGTTTTCATTTGTATTTTATCTTTGCACATCTTTCGCTTGGCTAATATAGAGATGGATCGATAGAGAATACAGTAGAATATTATTGTCATGTTAATGATTTTTTTTATGTAAATGATATTGCATAATCTTCAAGGAGTCTTACGGAAAAGGGTAATGGGATGGTTTTGTGGATGTGAGTGATTGCACTGTGTTTTTTAGCTGTACAGACTACAGAGGCCTTACTTTTTTTGGTGGGGTTGATCAGCTTAGCAGTGCACATGTAGAATGTTACCTTGATTGATTTGTGGAGGAGTGTTGTGTCACACATCAGATTACATCTTCTTTAAAGATCCATGGTTTCCATCTTTTTCTGGTCTTGGTAGCTAGTATGCAGTTTCTTTGGTTCTATGAGTTCCTCTGTACTTGTGTGTGCACATCGTTTCCAGATTTTATTCGAGGATGTTAATAATGGTGAGATTTATTCACGTTATTGATACAGGAAACAGAGGTGTTGGTGAACATTAAAGACCACATTCTTGTTCCGGAGCACCAGCCGCTTACACCTGAAGAAAATAAGACTTTGCTGGAGAGATATACTGTGAAAAAGACGCAGGTCAGTTCTCAGTAATTTTAATATTGCACCTTTAGATCAGTGATAAGAGCAAGGGAATGATATGCAACCTATTTTTGGAGAAGGAAAGGACTAGAACTCTATTTTCAAATATGCTTGACTTTCCTTTTCCAGAATCCCATGAACATATGAAACTGATTCTATTCTTCGGCCCCCAAGTTTAAAAATCTACTACAAATAGCAAGGTTTCCTTTTTAATAGGGACCTTTAAACTATTGCTTTGTGGTGATTATATCCATTATGAGTCATTCTTTGTCAACGCTAAATGTAGCCTCAGCACTATTATTCATACATATCTCAATTTTTTTTCTTCCGTAACCCCAATCATATTAAAGTTTAGTTGTTTTCCCGTTTGTTGAGTTTCAGTTACCTCGGATTCAGGTGACAGATCCGATTGCCAGATACTATGGGCTAAAGCGCGGGCAAGTTGTTAAAATCTTCCAGCCAAGTGAGACTCTAGGACGATATGTCACATACCGATATGTTGTTTAAACCTTTTCTAGCGTTGTATTTAGGGGTGTTAATCAAGACGAGCTATTTGAATTCGGCTCATATAAAACTCGGCTCGAGTTCAGTTCCTGTTTTAAACGAGATGAGTTTGAATAATTTTTAAACTCATTTAAAAAAATGAGCTTAAAAAGTTTAGCTCAAGCTCAGTTTGTTCATACGTAAAATAGTCAAGCTATTCGGGCTTGACTTAGGCTTGGGCTCGGCTCGAGTTCTAAATGAGTTGAGTTTGAACAATTTTTTTAAAGCTCATTTGAAAAAACAAACTTTTCAGGCTTGGGTTCAAGCTTTCAAAACTTGGTTCAATTAACACCTTTAGTTGTATTGAGTTATATGAAGTTTTTGAAACCCGTTGTGGCTTGTAAGTTTTCTAATTATGCTACTTTTACTTTTAAGTGCAAGCAACTATAGACTGATGAATCTTTAATGGTGGTTTAAGTGGCTGTGCTTGACATGTAATAATCCAAGTTCAATCTCTTCTTACACTCTTTAATGGCTAATTATTTTTGTCTCTTTAGGGACATGTTTTAACCAGTTCAAGTCATGATGGTTAATTGCTGAGCTCGAAGACTAATCAGCCAAACCTGAACATCCTGTAGAAAAAAAAAAAAAACTAGAGACTGAATTGTCCAATGGGAGCACTAGTCAGAATGTTGTCATAACTTTAATACTTATTTTTAGATATTTCTGGATCTTACCATAAGCTTTATAATTTGCCTAATGATGCTTGCCCCGATAGTTAACATTGGAATTATTTATTTTTTTGTTGGGGAATGGGGGGGGGGGGGGGTGGAATTAATGGGTATATCATATATATTTTGGGCAGCCAGTTCGTGTTTATAACATCAAAAGTTAAAAGGGTTCCCCAATCCATCGGTTTGCATCCACGATTAATGAGAATCAAATTGAATAATGATATTTATGACTGTGTCATTGGCTGTTATACACGTACTAGTTATTTTTTGTGTCTAAAGACACAAAATAATGAAAAAAATAGTCAACAGTAAACATTTATATTCATACTCAAAATTAAATCATAAAAACAAAAAAGAGAAAAAAATTTAAGCACCGATTGTAGTAAGAGTAAACAGTGATAGTGGTGGTGGGTAGTAGTGGTGGGGCGACAACAGTGGTGGGTGGTGACGATGGTGGTTGTGGACAACGATGGTGGGGGTGGATGACAGTGACTAGAGGTGATGGTGTGCAACGAAGGATGATGGTGGGTTGTGGTAGTAGATGATGACGGTGGGCGACGATAGTAGTGGTAATAAATATACAAATGAGATGACAATCGTGGTGGGTGGACGACAGTGGTAGCAATTGGTGGTGGGTGGCGATGGTAGTAGGGGTGGGGTAAAGGCGGTGGATGTAGAGGTGGGGCAGCAATGGTGGTGGTGGCGACAACGATAGTAGTTGTGTTGGGGTGGCAATAGTGGTGGTGATGGGTAGCAGTAGTGGTTGGATGGGGTGGTAGCAGTGGTGGATGGTGGTGGGTATGATGGGTTGGTGGTGGGGGTAGTGTGGTAGTAGTGATGGTGGTAATGAGACAGTGGTAGTGGTAGTGGTGGTGGTGGTGTGGTAGTGGTGATGGTGGTGGTGGTGGTGGGATAGTGGGGTGGTGACAGTGGTGGTGATGGTCATTGTGACAGAGGTGGTGATAGGTGACGGCGGCAGCGGTGGTGGTGGTGGTGGTGGTGGGATGGCGGTAATAATGGTGATGGTGATGGTGGTGAGGCGGTGGTAGTAGTGGTGGCGGGATAGTTTCAAAAACTACTTTTTTTGTTGAAGTATTTATAAAAAATTATAAATTCTAGAAACACTTTTAAAAAATTACTTCAAACACACCCTTAAGACTATATTTTTCTTATTAAAATTGAGGTGTTAATATTAACTGTCGGATTAAAGAGATCTCAATCACAAAAAATAAAAATCATTTTGTTTATCTTTTGAAATTTGAATTGTATGGTATTTCATTATATAAAAAAACTAGTTATTGTCTGTGCCTGAAGACATAGAGTAATAAAAAATGGTAAAAAATAAATATATTTGTATTTATATTCAAAATTAAATTATAAACATAGAGAAGAGATAAAAAACTTTAAGCAGTAACGACGGCAACAGTGGTGGTGGTAGTGGTGGCGACGGTAGTGGTGGTAGTGATGGTGGCGGCGACGGTGGTGGTGATGGTGGTGGTAATGGTAGTGACAACGATGGCGGCGACGACAATGGTGGCAATGATAGTGATGGTGGTGATGGTAGAGGTGGTGGGACAATTTCAAACACTGTTTTTTTAAGTATTTGTGAAAAATAATTTATAGAAGTACTTTTAAAAAATCACTCCAAACACACCCTTAGGGCCCTATTTTTTCTATTAAATTTAAGGTGTTAATATTAGCCGTTAAATGAATTTTAAAGTAAAATTTAAAGTGATTTTAACCGCAAATAACAAAAGTCATTTTGTTTATCTTTTGAAATTTAAATTCTAAACTATTTTATTTTATAGATATAGTTCACGTGAGTTTATACACCAGGCAAAATAATCCCATCTTCAAGCAAAACTTGGTGCAGAGGCCAGAGGGTACCAACTCCATAACAAGCTGCGAAATGGCACTACTACTACACTCGCAGGTAACATGCAAATAATCTCAACTTCTCAGTCATCCATGTCCAACAAATCATATCCTTTAAAATTGGAAGACACTTGGTACTAGAGCATGTCGTGAAAGCAGCACATAAGGTGGGCGTGATTTGACCGTGCCTCCAAGGCACACTTGAATATAGATATCATGAATGCGAGGTGCAAGATACCAGGCTGAGAAACCTGTGTGAGTGTGTGTGTGCCTGCGCCTTGTTTAGCATCAGTACTTGGGGATTGATTAACCATTAATTGAAGCTTAGGGCAGTATTAAGACTTATTTTTCGAAAGATAGTATCAACACTTGTTACAATGGAAAGAAGCATAGAAAACTAGTAACTGCAAAGGTCATAAGCACCCACCCCCTTGATAAAAAGAGATAAATCACTAACTGGGATAATTTCTAATTCAGAACAAAAACCATAAACCATTTCACAGTTGCCATAGTCTTCTGTCAGACAGTGAGCCATTTTGAATAAATAAAATGGTCCAAAAATCTCTACAAAATAATTCTTAGGTGCCAAATGTAGCTTTTGGAGTGATAATATAACACATATATCAACACCGAACTCAACATGAAACTAATTTCTTTGATCAGAACAAAAATAATTAGTTTAAAATTTCATGTAAATATAGCTGAGCCTCAACAAACTGCCATTTTCATTACCTCTGTGGAAGTATCAAAAAAGGTTCCTCCTTGTTTGTTCCTGTGCACCCACTGAAACTGTTGTAATGCTTTCTGCAAGTCATGCTTCACTTTCCACTTTTGCATTAGTTGTTTCCCCAAGAGTAAATCGAACAAACCTCCTAACTTTTATGTTCTCCCCAATAGCAGCAACAGTTTGCTTTACCAAGTCCTTTACTAGAACACTATCATTTTTTATGAAGGGCTGCTCTAAAAGGGCAAGCTCCCCAAGCCTCTTTGAGAGTCTCCCCTCAACAATTCTCTCTCTTATGTTTTCTGGTTTGGACAGAAGGTCTTCTCTCTGCATCTCTAGTTCTTTCTCCTTGTTCCTAATGCTCTCTGGAATGTCTTCAATGGATACATATTGTACCTGAGGGTAGGCGACGACTTGCATTGCTAGATCATCAACCAATTCTTTGAACTTTTCACTTCTACCCACAAAGTCAGTTTCGCAATTCACTTCAACTAGAACTCCAATGCGGGTGTCATGAATGTAGGATCCAATCCGGCCTTCAGCTGCAAGCCGAGTGGATTTTTTGTCAGCAGCTGAAAGACCCTTTTTTCTGAGGTACTCTTGTGCCTTCTCGAGGTCCCCTCCAGTTTCAGAGAGAGCTTTCTTGCAGTCCATCATGCCTGCTCCAGTTTCTTCTCGCAATTGTTTAACCAATGCGGCTGAAACTGTTGCTTTTGGCCTGCAAAGCAGCGTTCAATATATAAACCTCCAGCAGGATATGTGTGATGATATGCCTGATGCTTTTGAACCAATACAAATAAATTAGATGTATTTGCTTGTTGGGGGCATTTAAACAATTCACGAGACACAAACAGTGAAAAGGTATCTGAATCTATGTGGAGCTGTGGACTTAAAAACAATCAGTCTATTTTGCAATTACAATTACATTCCACTAATTACTGCCATAATTCATACACGAGTGAATTTACAAGCACCAGCCGGTCAAAGTACCAATTAATCGATATGAATTATGATTATACATGCAACTAACTTGTAGAGATTTATTCACTTTCTAGAAGAAATGGAAACTCCCAAATCTCAACGAGTAAAGATGACTTAGTACCATTCAAGACTCATAAAAATTGGACAACGGAAGTATTTGATTTTTTCTTTACACCTATTTCTGCAGAACCCATGAAGATGTTATAGAATTTGAAACAAGTATTTGCTAGCACCAAGTTGCCCCCTAATTAACCTTAGGTTTTCTATTTCTCCAATTACCAGTGATGGGTTTTGACTTTGAACCCTAACCCCTCCCTTTAGATGCCATGTCATCCCCTAACTTTGCCATAATGGCATTGGCCATACCTTTATTTAATTCTTGAAAAAGCCCCATATTGCCCAAAGATACGATTATGATTTAACAGAAAACAACCACTTACTTCTCAACAGTATCCTTCGCTTCACCTGTAGCAGGCTGCTCTTGTACTGGTGCCGGCACTGGTTTGGCTGCAGTTTGGGCGGCCACCTCTGCAGCAAAATCTTGGCTTTTCTTTTCCAAGCCTTCTCCAAGGTTGTAGCGCACAAACCTAGTGACTTTTATATTTTCTCCAATAGTTGCAATGGTTTGCTTCACCCAGTCCTTCACAACCACTTTATCATTCTTAATGTAAGGCTGCTCCAGCAAGGCCAGCTCCTCGAGCCTCTTCCTGATCCGTCCTTCAACAATCTTGGATCTGATCTGCTCTGGTTTTAATAAGAGATCTTCCTTCTGCATTTCAATTTCTCTTTCCTTATCCACAATCTCTTGGGGAACGTCTTCTGTAACAAGAACCTGTACTTGAGGGCAAGCGGCCACTTGCATGGCTAGATCATCGACCAGCTCCTTAAAAATATCGCCCCGAGATACAAAATCTGTCTCGCAATTTATCTCTACTAGGACACCAATCCTGCTATCGTGGATGTATGAACCAATTCTTCCCTCAGCCGTGGCCCTACTGGCTTTCTTATCTGCACTTGCTAACCCTTTCTTTCTGAGGTATTCCTGAGCTTTAACTAGGTCACCTCCAGTTTCTGTAAGAGCTTTCTTGCAGTCCATCATTCCTGCTCCTGTTTCTTCACGCAGTTGCTTCACAAGAGCTGGTGATATAGCAACTGCAATCCATATGGGAATAGATTTGAGAAGAACAATATATATTGCTGGTAAAAATTTGCCATTTGCAATAAGAAGACACTAACATAATACTCAAATCTAGAGTGGGCACCGGAACACTAGCATAGTCACTGAGGATTACAAAGCTTCACATGTAATTGGTGGCATACTCAAACTTTTGTACACATCACCACACATGAAAAAGGCAAGGCATCGAAACCAAAATACTAAGGATACAACAGGTTTTACCTTTGGTGTGGGGAGCAATTTGTTGGTTTACTTGGACAACGACATTGAAAGAATGAATATTTCCACATAAAGGAGATAAAACAGGCAGGATAATTTCTAAAACATAAAATACAGGGAAAGGTTGAGCACATAATAAAGACAAATCCACTTCGAATAACACAAACATAAAAGGGGCAGAGAGCAGCAACAAATTGCTCAAAAGACAAATTTTCCTTTTACAGGTAGCAACATCTGCTGATAATTGCTAATAATATCATGCATCTGTTAAGGTCTTTCTCTAATTATCATGTATTTTCACATTTGTAGTCCACATTGACATATGGTTGCCTATGAAAAGGCAAGTGATAATTTTATTCTTACATCTCGGTCTCAATTGCTTATTATTTCTACCTCAGCTTCAATGACTATCCTTACCTTTTTGTCTTTTCCAGTGGTTTCTTTTAAACATTCAAAATTTGCACAGCAAGTATGCAACCTATTTACAAAGCCTCTGTATGCCAGATGTTGGGATATCTAGGCATAGCATGTGAGGGGCTATAATTAAGATGGGGTGTATCAGTAATTATGGAGCAGACTTTAAAATCAGTATGAGCAAACACATTATGGACAAAATGAGGCACACATTTATCCAAATGCTATTTGCAGAAAATTGCAAATCTTTTATTTTGATCGAAAAATGATTATTTAAGACAAATACCTTTTCAAGGAAAACCATGTTTTCGTTCTTTGCATGTTTAAGCAATGTTGTAAGAACTAGCCAAAAAACATAAACTTTCTTTGCATCCATATTCAGAGGTTTAATGAGAAATGAGTCCATGTTTTTGCTTAAACTATTGATCATCCTGGAGGTGTCTAAGAAAGTACTTCTTAGAAACCAAGACTTTTCTTTAAGCCATCATGCTACATGCATTTACATAAGTTTTTTCGTATGTAGGAATACTTGGGGCGGACAGATGTCTATGCATCAAAGGGTTTCGGTTTCTTGATGGCATATCAGTTTTTTTATTCCTATCACATATTTAGAATGATCATCGATCCCATTTAGTATCAGTTCCTCATACTTTGTGAACGTCTTTTTGGCACCACTATTTAATAGTCAGCTATCAATATATTATATTCATATCATAATGCTACCTTAAATGGAAATTTGATCTGCAGTTTTCTGGAATGCAGTTAAAGAATAAGTAGAGATATTAGACAAGATATTAACCTTTAGCTGCAACTTCCTTTTGTGCATGAGCATCACTTTGTCCATTCGAGTTCGGAACACTGACAATTTTCTCTGGGGCAGGCCCAACCTGTTCTTCTTCAGTTACTGTGGCGATAGGAGTTTTGCCATCTGCTGTAGGAGTTTGTATCGGCAATTCATCATTGACAACAGTGCTGTCAATTTGATTCTCCCCTACTTCACTGACCTGACTTTCTGCAAGCAAAATCAACATCAGCTTTTATCCAGATTGCTCAGTTTTTCACTCGTATCCAAATTCATTTTCCATGGAATTTTCACCTTTTTTTCACCTTAAAGCAGAGAATTCAGAATTACATACCAAAAATTTCGAGATTAGGCAAACTATGACTCCAATTGTTACATTTAAGTCAAAATAGAAGAAGAGGTAGGCAAACAATAACTCCAATTGTTACTTTTAAGTCGAAAGACGAAGAAAAGTAAGTGGAACACTAATATACCCAAGAAGGGTTGTGTTCAGTGTGTGTTTTATATAGAGAACCTTACCTTTCATTCCTTCCCCTTGTGATAGGATCCACACATAAATTACATAGTTTGATACCAAATTTCCCTAATATGTGTTAGCACTGTATAAAGCAGTATGATTATTTATACCAGGGAAGTACTGGGAGGTTATACTTGTATGCAGCCCATCCCTCCATAAATCCTAAATTGACAGGATGAGAACTGCGTAAAGCATTCAGATCACCACATACTATTATATATGTACGAGGACTAGTTGTCAGCTATTGAATGTTTATTGCTAGAATTTTATGCAAGCAATTATGAAGGCGAAAACAGCCAAAAAGAGATTAAAATTGTGAACCTTTAGTTGTGCTTTCCAAGGGTGGCAGATCATTTATTTGTTCATTTGAGATACTGCCATTTTTTTCAGCATTAGGTCCCACTGTTTCTTCAACGAGTGGTGGGGCAGGAAGGATTTCGTTCTCTTCACTAGGAGTTTGAATTTGTGCTTCATGGTTTGCTATCACATCATCCGCTTGATTCTCAGTAACTTCTGACAACAAAAATTGATCAGCTATTTGTCCAGATAAGTCAGATTCTCCATCATTTACGGCCTCATCCAATGGAGTAGGTGTCTCAGTTAGCTTATCGTCAGTAGATGCACTCCCTTCAGAGGCCAAAATTTCAGAATTAACTTCTGCTTCATCCTCTATGGTTTGGACTGCACCATCCACATTTTGCAAAGAATCAGTGCTTTCTGATTCCGCAGTCCAAGTATTGTCAACCGTACTGATACCTACATCAGCTTCTTTTGAAAAAGTTTCATTCTCTACCATTTCATCCACTCCAGAATTCACCTCCGCCTCTTCCTCTACGCTTTGGAGTGCACCATCCACATTTTGCGAAGAATCAGTGCTTCCTGATTCCTCAGTCCAAGCATTGTCAACCGTACTGATACCTACATCAGCTTCTTTCAAAGAAGTTTCATTGTCACCCATTTCATCCACTGCAGAATTCACCTCCACCCCCTCCTCTACACTTTGGAGTGCACCATCCACATTTTGTGAAGAATCAGAAACTATGCTTTCTGGGTTTTCATTCAAAGCATCATCAACCGTACTGATACCTACATCTGCTTCTTTCAAAGAAGTTTCATTCTCTCCCATTTCATTCACTGCAGAAGAAACACTGGCCAACCCCTCAACACTGCTAACCGATTTATCCTGCACGCCAGGATCATCAAGACCAATTTCAGTTTTACTCACCTTCCCTTCTATTGCTTCATTTGGCATTCCTGCATTTTCAGCTGGTACCTCCTCTTTCTCCCTCTTGTCTAGAAATGCAGCAATATCCTTGTTCTTACGGAAAGCCAACATAAAAGGATTGATTGCTGTATGCACATTACCTTGTTTGAGCTTTGTATCCAACTCCCCAGCCTCTTCTTCTTTTTTCATTGTCAATGTTACCTGCCCTCTAGTGATCCGCAACACACGAACATTGACTTCTTGACCGACTTGCAGTGAGGAGCCTCCCATAATGCTTCCAAACCCTTCAACAGATTCCTCAGATGTCGGAAGAAATCCTTCCTCCCCCTCGGGTAGAGATATAAAAGCACCAGATCTGGTTAAGTTTTTCACTGTGCCATTAAGGTCTTGCCCCTTGACAAATTTTGAGCTTCTCTTCACCTCATCTTTCCTTTGGTTGGGCTTAGGAGGGCCTCTTCTGGAAGATCTGGTTTTATCGGGATTGGCAGGAGCATTTTTCTGTTGCTGCAGCTTACTAATATCATCACTTTCACGCATGGTTAGAGATATTCGCCCTGTCTCGGTGTTAGCTTCAACTAATCTCACCTTCACTTCTTGTCCAAGAGAAACAACACTTCCAACATCCCTCACAAAACTCTCACTCAACCTCGAAACATGTACAAGGCCATCTGTGAAAGCTCCGAAATCAACAAAGGCACCAAATGGCTGGATTGATTTAACTTTCCCAGTAAAAGTTGCACCAGCAACCAGTTCTTCATTCTTTACAGGAGGCATCTCACTCTTCCTAACAGGTCTTGAACGTTTTGATTGAGCAGGAGTGGAACTGGAATCTGATTTTATGGAGGATTCTTCAGTGGTTTCAACAGCGCCTGATGGTGATTCTATGGCTTCACGATCTGCAACAGGGGAATCAGCTTCTTCCACTGCTAGATCAGTTCCGGTGGCCGACACTAGGTCTATCCTTGATTTTGGACGTAAGCCACACCCACTTCTGAACTGCGGAAACAATCTCACAGAAGTTGACATCGGTAATATATACTTTTGTACTGTCAATATTCGTTTGGTAGATTTCTGCAAAATGCTGCATCTTGTTACACTATTATTCTTCGTTGTTGCGAAGGTGGTTCCAAGAGAAAGTGCAATATTACTCGTGGAACTTGGAATCACAGGTGACATGTTGATTTGAGGTTCAAAAGCAAGGTGGAGTAAGTGGCTAATATGATTTCTTCATCGGTTGCTTCAGCTGTAGAATAGATAAGACTAATGAGGCAGAACAGACGGTATAATTTCACTTCATATTGCAAAACTAAAAGAGCAAGTCAGTGATTGGTGTGAGCAGGGTGCATCTTGTGCATGAACAAGAAACAAAGTTTTTGTCATTAAAAAGATATTTTTTTTCTCACAACGACTACCAGAGAGGAAGTTTATTAAGGGTCCTGTTTTGTAACAAAATTGGGCATTCAATATCCTAGAAATAGCATTTTGTAAAGCAAAACATCAATAAAGTATGATAGCTGTGGAAGTGAAGAGCTATCCAAATAGAAGATCATACCCATTTTTGTGGAGCAGATCAAGAAGAAATAAACACTAGATACCACTTTGTGTATTTAGATAAAACTCATAATCTGACTATTTCCAATTACCCAAATGCAGTTTGAGTCAATACCATACTTGAAAGTTCAATTCATTGATTCCCATGGTTTTAACATAAATACCGACCTCTGATGGGGTGCGATAATATTGCACAAAAATGTATTTAATTGACAAGATAAACTACCAACCTTTAAATTCTTTGGGACGCCCAAAATTCAAGTTGAATACAAAACTTCTACATTCCGCCCAAAATTAGCATACTTTTGAAGAATGAAAATCTGGTTATCTAAATCTTTTAACTCAAGTTTCACCCATATCAAACCGAGGGCACTCTGTCCAAATTGAATTCAGCAGAATTCACATGCAGTAAGCCAAATCCAAATCATGTTGTAGGCAAAAAACCTCACTATTATCCAATTAAGTACGCCAAACATTCTATTTAAGCCAAATTATATGTCCAAAAATCTTAAATTTGTCCAGATATTCTACTTAAGTTCTTTGCAGACTGTAGAAACACATGACACAAAACCTAAAAAACAAACACCAATCATAGCCAGTTATGGGTGTAGAGAGTACATTCACATGACCTTCAATTCAGTACACTAAAGTAAAGTTTTCCAAAACGAATGCTATAAACCCCATAATAATCTAAAATAGCACTGCCCAGGTAGAAAAAAATGAAGCTAATGGTATAAAAACACTCAAAACAGCACAAAATACTTCAAAAAACCGCCAATTAACGATAACCCAATACTGGGAAGCTGCAGTTACACATGCTAAGATTAAAAAAAAAAAACCAAAGACAATACGAAAAAATCAAACCTTCTGTTGTATATTATCAACAACAGAGAAAATTAGAGACACCCAAGAATTGTTTGTTTGTAACTTTGAAGTTTGAAGCTTTGGAGGTCAGTTGATAGGCTTCTCTCGGTCCCTTTGTGTTCATGAGTGATGATGACGGAAAAGAGGGAAATGAAAGGCGGGTCTTAAAATCCTTATCTCATCATCTCCTCAATGTCTGACAGTAAGATGTTTTTTCTAATGGGTAATATTGCAATTCGACACTGCTCTTTGGCTTGGCTCTGGGTGTGTTAAGCCTCCTGTTTGTTTGTGCTTTCAAGAGCCAATTGAACCGGCTTAGTCTCTAGCCATTACAAGCAGCTAGAAAGCATACCATAACGCCTGTTTGTTTCGAGTATAAGATTTATGTGGCATAAGATTTTATATTTATTTCACTCCGATTTAATAGTATATTTTACTCGATCTTAAACTATAATCTTATCTTTTTCCTTGTTTGTTTGTTTGTCACAAATATTATCTGTTTAACACTTATTTAAAAAAATCAACAATTACGGCTATGACCCGTAAAAAGATAATTGTAACCTTGTAACTTTAAAAAGATAATTATACATGAGGGCAGTTGGGTCATTTTACTCTATTATACCTCCATTTTATTTGTATCGAGCATATAATACCATCAGGTAAGTGGTATACATTAAGATCATCTACAAGACATTATGATTACTGTTCATAACGAATTGATATTACGACCCGTAAAATAGTATTGACTATAAAATATTAAATAAATAAGGTATAAGATGGACCCCACATACTATTTCTCTAATATCACCCCCTTATCGCACTCTGATCCTCGAAACAAACTAGCCCTAACTTAACATGACATCTAAGGGACCCACTTTACATAACATATAAGCTTGCCCATTTTACTATTTAAAATAAAAAACCATACAAATCTAACCCACCACCATAAATCAAAAAATAACATAAATACTTGACATGAATAAAAAAACACTATACTGAATTAGTATAGAAATGAATTATTTTGAAAATTATACAACTTTTTTATTAACACTTGTTACATATCAAGTCCGACAAAAACTTAAAATGATACGATTTAAATTTGAAACGATTAACATAAATATTTGACATGAATAAAAAAACTATATTGAATTAGTATAAAAATGAATTATTTTGAAAATTATACAACTTTTTATTAACAATTATTACATAACAAGTCCGAGAAAAACTTAAAAGGATACAATTTAAATTTGACACGATTTGAGATAACATGATTAAAAATTTGACTAAAAACTACTAAATTGACACCCTTTCACAAGTATGACATATTATACCTATACAATTAGTCTTTGGGGTCTGTTTGAAATTTCCAGAACAGTTTTTTAGTTGGTTCATATTGGGTAGTTTGATACTTTGATTTTTCAGATAAATGTTTTTTTTTTTTTTTTACGGTGACAAAAGAGTTCAAGGGGTTATTAGGGTAAAATCACTGTCTGAACGTGACCATAACAGTCTGAACCCATGAGAAAAACCCACCTCTGGAGCTTAGACGATAGTTTGATGTTTTTTATTTTCTGGTCAAGTGGTTTGATTCTCTGATCTATGAGTAATGTTACATAGACCTTTATTATTATTATTGTCTCTTTTTAGATTTACAGAGAATTTCACTATTAATTAAATTTAATATCAATTTAATGACTATGATCTATCATATTACCAGATAAAATTACTAAATTAAATACAAAAAATATTTCCCCTGATCTATCATGGTTTTTTTGTCATGTGATCGAATGGACTGGGTCGTTGTAGGATTGGTCATTCTATGAGTAAATGTGATGGGCCATGATCCTATCCACCAGGTCAAAATGATGAGGCGATCAGTCCATTCTATTGAGATAGCCCAAAAACGTGATCTACTATCCCCCCACCCCAGACTTTCACATGACAGGCTGGGCTGGCCTACTTGATGGGCTGCCGAGTTTTTGGGTGGACCTTTTGGACACGGGTCCATAAAAGCCACCATCACCATTGCACATCATCAATAAAGTTTTTTTTTTTTTTTTTGGGCACATTATTATCCCTGCGATTTTAATAAAGTTTGAGTAGCACTCTGTGAACTTAAAATACCTAACATGATAACTCTAAGGGTAGTCGGTGGAGATAGAAATGAACTATAAATTTAAACATCTTAAATTCGAAATTTAACAATTTTTATGGGGCCAAACTATAAAAGATTATCGTCATGAATTTCATAGTTCGACATGAATATCATGTATTTGATCAGAGAGGGAGAGTATTAGTAGAAGTACACGTAAGCTGGCCTTGGACATCCCCTTATCGTAGAACCAAAAAAAAAATCTAATGTGATATAGTCTCAACGGAAAAGTCAAAAAGTTGCTGTTAGAATAATACTATTGGATCATTCATTGCCATATCATTAAGTCAAATTTTTAATTACTCGTAATGTTTTTCCGAATACTCTAGAAAACCCTAGCTTCTGGCATGCATAACAAACAAAACTAATATGAAAACCCGTTATTAAATGAAGTAAACCATCAATCTAATATTCACAATGTATTAGGGACTCGATTATAATAAAGTACCATTATTGGTTCCCAAATGTGTTAAAATCCTTGAACAAAGATGTTAGAACTTGAAATTACACGCAAATACATCCTACACACACTATCATCCACAGCCAACAACATTTTCCACTTCTAATTAGCCTCCATACAATCAACACATAGTTTAAACATGAGTCTCTCATTTAATTGACTTGACTATCAGAGAGTCTTAAGCTTACACCACACCGGTGTCCCCTATCTTCGACACGGTTTATCTCTCTTATCTTGCCAGTTATCGTGTCATTTTCATACTGTTGTTCAGATTGTGGTCCAGTTTTCTTAATTAACAGCCCTCTCATACTGGCATTAGAATCATGAAGAACGGTCAAAAAACTTCCTCTGCAACCATACATAAGCTTCATAAGCTTATTATAATTATTGATGTCTAAATGTGTTGCCCTACTTGCGTTCAAGTTGCACAGATCTCATCAACAATAAAGTAAACGAAATGACCATGAAAGAAAGTATATATATATCAAATGGTGTCTGTATCAGTAGTACTGCCTTGGACCACAGTGCAACTACACAGAAAATTATCGAGTCTGTTAAAAAAAGGAAACTTGACAAACCCAGATAGGAACTTCAGAAAAATACTGCGAATTAGAAGCAACTTGTTTTCTTGACCAATCACTTGTTGTGAGTGTATACATATTTAATGGAAAAACTTTCTTCTTGTCAGATGGCAGGTTTTCCAGTGAGATCAAATGAAATGTTTTTGATCACTCTGTCTACTTATAAGATTCATGCTGTAATCAGAATTCATTTGATGAACCAGAGAGGGGGGGGGGGGGGGGAGAGAGAGAGAGAAACTGTGACACGGGGCATGTTGCAGTATCTTATTATTTTGATGTCTGCCGTGACCATTTAAGGTTAGAGAGTTTACTCTTGGAACTCTGTTAAAAACACAATCCTTTTTAAACTTCAAAACAATATGAACAGCCCACCAATAATGCCTAAAAATAAATATATCCAGAAACTTGACTCAGTATATAATGGTGATTAAATGGACAATACAGATGAAGCTAATACAATGAGAGGTGTCAAATCAATGATTTATATTTCAAATCATATCCAAGAAAGATCGTTTCGAGCACTGGGGATGTTGGTGTTTAGGAGTGATATTTTCCATGATGCAGGAGACAATTGGGAGACCAAATGCATTAGCATTCAACATTCTTTGTCACAGGTGGGGACCTTTTTTAGGGTTTTTTTTTGCAGATCTTCAATATCCAAAGCAACCAATGTTGAGCTATTTAGCATCTTAACACATGGGTCAGAACTTCTTTGTTGTTTCCAAGGTCCCATTCCAGTTGTATCAACAACCCAATACAGTTTTCAATAATACAATCCAGTAGACTTGTATATAGTCTCTCTCTCTCTCTCTCTCTCTCTCTCCGGAAGAAAATCTTCCACCATGGCTAAACGAGGATTCGGAATTGATATTAATATTTGGGGATGACTACCTAAAGAGATCTAGGAATCCATAAGGTTGAGAGACTCAATCACGCAGCTTAAAATAAGTTTGGAGCCTTGTTTATAACCCAAAGCATTATAAAATAAGCCCACATGTTCCACCAAATCACAAGGTATTGCTAGGGAATACATAAATTATACCTCTGCATATATGCAGATATTGTGTGTAAATTCCAAACACTCTGCATCTATGGAACGGCTAAAGAAAAAAGGCCCGGGGTCAAAAAGGTGGTACTAAAGTAAATTACAATAGTGCTGTATAACTAAATATATTTTATCTTCAATCCATTGGGATAGTTCTCATAATCAGAGTTTAGTCGAAATATATAAAAAAATTTATTATTTCCAGATATAAAGTAGGACTATCATAAAAGAGCTTTGATTTTTTTGATGCACCCATATCATAATTCAATATGATTGTGTAGTTGTCTTTGGTCAATTTTCGGTAAGCTTGTAGTTTATAACCTAATAAAACCCTATCACATTCAAAAGTTAAAATGTTCTAGCCCAAAAATATTTTCTACCATTTACTAAATGATACAAAAGAAATTGTTTTAGTCATGTTCTGCCCCTTCTCCCAGAATCCTAACTCCGCTCATGTCACGAACCAACAAGTTTTGATGCTAAATGAACAAGTCAACGCTAATTCATGAAGTAAATAAGGATGGTAGAAAGAAAATGATTCGTACAATCATAAAGGTGGGTTTTTGAGAGTAGGGATAGGTATGGTTGATTCAAACTCTTTGAAACTGTAATTGAGGAATGCTATTTGAATTTAAATTATCAACCTAATTTGCGGACTTAATCATTTATAATTATTGGATTGATAGTGAGTCTCAGTATATATTGGGACCCGCAACTCAACGGATAGTTATAATATCTTAGATCAACAAATTAAGTTTAAATAACATTATTGAGTGTAATTTAATAGACCTAGGAAAAATAATACTACTCAGCTTGAATTTTAATGCAGAGTAGTTAATCTCTGCATAAAATATAAACCCATTCATTTTCATGTATAGCTTTGCACATATTATATCATTGAAAATGCCACCTTTAGAATTTTCAGTAACTGACTGAGAATGCATCAAGACATCTACATGACGTTGTAATACTCACTCAAAGCTCTAATTTTAAATGACCTACACTACACCTTCAAAGCTTTGCTCAAGTCTTGTTAGTATCTAGGGTATAGCAGTTTGGGAT